AGGAAGGAAGGAAGGAAGGAAGGAAGGAAGGAAGGAAGGAAGGAAGGAAGGAAGGAAGGAAGGAAGGAGGGAGGGAGGGAGGGACTTTTTTTTAGTTTAACAAATTTATTGGCAAAGCTTGTACATGTAGTACAGTTTGTCTATTCTGAGTAATTCAGTCAGGTCTTGACACTGAGGGTGGTATCACTTCTCACTGCCACACAGGACAGAGGTTCATACACAAAGAAATACATCATATTCATTAGCAGTATATATAGGTCAGAGTCATGTGGGTAATGTCACTGTTCACTGCCATGCAAGACAGTGGTTCATATACATTGGACGTCATATTCTAAATGAAGACTAATCAGTGTGGGCCAGCAGCAAATTTGGGATAAACAGCAAGAATGTCCTCAAGCACCCCCGATTCAATGTCGTAATTTTAAAGTTCAAGATACAATAAGCCAGGTGGCCTGAAGTCTTTGACAGTGTCAAAGGGATGAAGAGCGAAAGGGAAAAAGAGAGAGAAAAATAGAGAGAGAGAGAGAGAGAGAGAGAGAATGTCTGTTGCTACATCCCGCCATTATTGTCTTCTCTTGCCATCATCATACGCCCTCCATCTTCCTCCCCCTCTTCTTCTACTTCTCCCCCTCTCCCCTCCATCTCCCCCTCTCCCATCCCCCCATCCCCCTCCCCCTCCCCCTCTCCCTTGCCACCTATTCTTCCTCTCATATACCTCCTGTCTCCCTCCCTCCCTCTTCCTCCCCATTCTCGCTTCCTCCCCCCACCCCTCTCCTTTCCCTCTCCCCTCTCCCTCCTTTCTTATCTTGTCTTCTTTATTTGTTTTGTATTTTACCTCTTATATTTTTTTTATTCTTCTCCGCTCTGTGATTTATTTTTATTTGTTTGTTTGTTTTTCTTATTTTAAACTTATTTTTTTTCATTTTTTTCGTATTTTACATTTTTTTATTTTGCTGTTTATATATTTTTTCTCTTTTTGTTTTGTTTATGAAGTCTTTAGTGTTTACACAACAACGGCGTCTTAGTCAAGTGATTGCGTCATTATTATGTAATCACTTGACTTAAATGTTTACATACGTGACGTCACAAGTCGAGGGATTACATAACGATGACGTCACAATCAGTGTATAATAGCAGTGACGTCACAAATAATAGCATACATAACAGTGACGTCAGATCCATGTGTTAACTTAAGAGTACAGTAAACTAGTAAGACCTTCTACCTGACCTCTTCAACTAGTTTGTGCAAAATACTAATAATAAACTCTGATAAAATCATCAATTATATTTCGATATTATTTTTAATGACGTCAGAATGCTATTATATGACGTCAGACTACTATTATATGACATCAGACTACTATTATATGACATCAGAATACCTTTATATAACGTCAGAATACCATTATTTTTTTCATTACTAATAATATATTTTTAGTGCTATCATAACCCTGTCTAATTGTTATCACACGTCATCATTATAAACGATCATTATTATTCCTGGGTCGTAAAAATATATCTATTGTTTATGGTTATCGTAAATATGAATGTAAATGATATCGTAGTTTTTATTTAGTTGCTTATAGAAATTTTTTCCTCCGTCCTGCTTCTATAAATCTTAACCTATATTTTTGTTTTTCTGTGCAATGTTTACTTATGTTGTGTGTGTGTGTGTGTGTGTAGATAGCTGTTTATATTCGTGTAGTGTCGGCCATGTTGTCTCCTTGTCTACCGTAAGACTTAGTGTGCAGTGTACTGTATCCACACCGCCTCTAAACTTCGTGACGCTAGAAAGTAAACATCGAAGGTTGATTCTTTTGTGGAAATAAATGAGAAGCAAAGAGATAAATATATTTTACTTCTGGGGAAAGAATGAATGATAAATTGTACAGTTTCTCTCTCTCTCTCTCTCTCTCTCTCTCTCTCTCTCTCTCTCTCTCTCTCTCTCTCTCATCCTCAATAGTCCCTCCCTTCCTTCCCTCCTTCCACCCTCGTCAGTACCTCCCTCCTTCCCTCCTTCCACCCTCGTCAGTACCTCCCTCCCCCCCATCAACTTACCCTCACTAGTCAGCTTCTCTCCTCCCCCCGCCATAATACAGCTGTGAGGGGACGTCATTATTTCTTCCATTATTTCTTTTCAGTAAAACTCAGGTGATCTTTGTCCAAGCACACACAGGGAACACCGGGGCCCTCAGGGGGAACAACCGGGGCTCTCAAAGAGAACACCAGGGGCCTCAGGAACAACCGGGAGGGGGAACACCCGGGGCTCTCAGGGGGAACAACCGGGGGCCCTCAGGGGGAACAACCGGGGGCCTCAGGGGAACACCCAGGGCTCTCAGGGGGAACAACCGGGGGCCCTCAGGGGGAACACCCGGGGGCCCTCAGGGGGAACAACCGGGGGCCCTCAGGGGGAACACCCGGGGGCCCTCAGGGGGAACAACCGGGGGCCCTCAGGGGGAACACCCAGGGGGGAGTGGTCCATGGCCACCTCAGGACGTGATGGATATAATAGTTCTTATCCGGCCATTGAAGACACGGGTTCAATGCTTTTTCCTCCTGTGTTAGCCGGTTCTGAAAATGTCATCCAAATATCCGGTCGATTTTTTTCCTTATATCCGGCTGCCGTGTTTTCATTATCCAGAGTTTGTAGGTGTGAATTGATTTGATTATCCGATCGATTTACATTTTTTAAAGTATCCGATATTCGGCTAAGGTTTAGTTCAGTCCCTACCCGGGTGAATGAGGCTCATCCGATATCCAGCCGATGAAGTAGTATTTTTTTGTGTTTTTAGTGTTACCGATATATTTACAAGCAATGGTTAATGTTTATTTAAAGTGTCAATGTCTTTTTTTTCCTTTAAAGAAATATTTACAAGTTTCCTTCTTCATTTACATGCTGTGTTTTCATTTCTCCCTTCTATTTACAAGACCCGTTTCTAATTTTCCCCTTCATTTACAAGCTTCGTGTACTATTTCCCTTTCATTTACAAACCTTATTTACAATTCTTTATTTAATTTACAAGCCTTAATACCAATTTACAAGCGATGTTTACATTAGTGTCCTCAATCTATCTCTTAAATTTTCACAAGCGAGATTTTGAGACAGTTTTTTCCGTCTGTCTCATTTTCTGTCTCATTCTGCTGTCTCATCCATTAATCGAGAGACAAATGTAATATATATGTCTCTCTGTATCTCTAGAGCTCTATTGACAACTGGGAGTAATTCGGAAAATCTCTCGGGAGGAAAAAGTTGTTTGTTGAAAAGTTTCGAAGACAAGATGAGGATTTATATCTTAGAGAGAGAGAGAGGAATATTAGTGAGAGAATGTGGAGGAAAGGCTCCTCCTTCTCTCTCTCTCTCCCTCTCACTGCGTCTTCCTCATCCTCCTCCTCCACTCTCCCTCCTTCCTCCACATCTTCATTCCTTCTCCTTCTCCATCCCACTCCCCCTCCTACTTTCTTTTCCTCCTACATACCCCTCCCCTCTCCCTCATCCTTCTCCCCCTACCGTCCAAATCTTCCCCCCCTCCCCTTTCTCCCCCTCTCCCCCTCCGTCTCCCTCAGATGGATCACGTGTAGGTGGGGGGTGAGAGGAGAAGGCAATATCGATAAGGTTCCCCGTGTTGCCCCCCGTTTATCATACCTTGAATGTACCACCGTGTGTCTTGACCAGGGGAGAGGGAGGAGGAGGTGGCAAAATAAGGAAATAACAGTAGCAGATAAGTAACATGCAAGATCAGCAGCTATGGCTCACGACACCAGGTGACCCACACGAACCTAAGAGTAAAATCAATGGAATACTTTCACTCTCTCACTTCAACTTTAACACACACACACACACACACACACACTCATGTAAGCGCCCTCCCTCCCCCCTTCCCTCCCCCCCCCTCCTTCCCTTCCCCCTTCCCCTCCGTGCATTCTTCTCCTTTCTTCATATTTTCCTCATTTTGTATATATACTTCATCTCCTTGCAATCAACTAAGAGACTAAGATTGGGAAAAAAATATAAATAATTTTTTTTTCAAACTATTTTCCTTAACTTGTGTCTAAGCGACCTCTCGTATTTTCTTATTCCTTGTCCCATCTTTATTATTGTATGTATTTATCTATCTTTATCTCTTTGTCTATGTATGTATGTATTTGTTTGTTTTTGTTATATTGCTTGAATGTTGTTTAATCTTCCTCTTGTTCCTGATGCGTTTGTTCTCCGTCCGTCTGTCTGTCTGTCTGTCTGTCACTGTGGAAAGAGGAAATTTATCACAGTCCCTCCTGCCCCGTTTTCTTTCATGGGACAATCTTGTACTCTAGCAAATACTGTATATAATTTCAATTTCAATTCAATTTCAATAGTTTATTCCTTGATAGAGAAAGAGGGATCTAAGGATTATTTTTCCATACAGTTTTTTAAGCCGGTAAACAAGATAGTGAATTAATATAAGGTTATTCGGTGTATATAAACTCCATATTTACCATATACCTAGACCTTATATATAAATTGAAACTTAATTAACATTGGGTACACATTGACGGTTCTTTAAATTAAGCCCCCCACACATTGACGGTTCTTTAAATTAAGCCCCCCACACATTAACGGCCCTATAGATTAAGCCCCCACACATTAACGGCCCTATAGATTAAGCCCCCACACATTACCGACCCTTTAAATAGGGGGACCCACATTTTAGTAGGGCAGTAGAGCTGAAAACTGGTGACTTCCGGAGTTGACCTGTGGATGAAGGGAGGGGGGTAGGAGGAGGGTGAGAGGAGCAGGTGAGGAGGGGAGGGGCAGGTGAGGAGGGTGAGAGGGGCAGGTGAGGAGGGTGAGGGAGGTGAGGGAGGGGTGGGGAGGAGGAAGGATGAGATGGAAAACTTTGCTTTTAGGACAGAAAACTTGGGGGGAGTAATAGGCTGATAGAAATGAGGAGTCGTAGAGAAAGTATTCAATAGGGGAGCTGCCGCAAGGAGGAGGAAGAGGGGGAGAGGAGGAGGAAGAAGAATAAGGTAGAGGAAGAGAAGGAAAAGTCTCGTTACAACACCGTCCTCCTCATAGTAATAACTTAACATAAAACAAACACCAAAAAATATCCCGTAAACTGCACAGGTAGTTTTCCTTAATTAGATACCTTCACTTAGCATCTGTTAGGGGACACAGGTAAGCCAGGGAAAATCTTTAAGGAGATATTTTCTTCAGTGAGAGGCTCCTTACCTATGTCGTCTGATAGTAAGGGGGTCTAAGAGCGATTTGGCTGAGGTAAGGTAGAGAGAGTGTTCAGTAGGGCAGTGGAATGTCCCAGGGCTTCTGGTGGTCACATCTGAGGCTGAGAGGTAATATGGGGGTGGGATGGGGGAGGGAGGGTGAGGGGGTTGGATGGGAGGGAGGGTGAGAGGGGTGGGATGGGGAGAGGGTTGGGATGGGGAGGAGGGTGAGTGAGGAGGTGAGGGTGGGTAGGGGAGGGAGGGGTGAGAGGTGGGATGGGGAGGAGGGGTGAGAGGGGGGTGGGTGCTATGTTGTGTTATCTTTATAAGTTTATATTTGTATCTCTGAAATGTCTTTGTTTTGTGTTTTAATCTTCGCCTTTTTTTATACAGGTGTGTGTGTGTGTGTGTGTGTGTGTGTGTGTGTGTGTGTGTGTGTGTGTGTGTGTGTGTGTGTGTGTGTGTGTGTGTAAACATCCACCTCCACCCACAAGAACTTAAGACCCTTCAGGAACCTTCCACGTTCCTTAATGTTTACAGGTAACTCACTCCTACACCTTTACCTTCATTATATCACCTAATTACTACTAAATAAACCTAATTACTTAACCAACGACCTACTTATAATTATCATAGTTTTATTGTAGTGTTAATTTTGTGTATTATCTTAACATCTTCACTACAGGGTCGCCGCTGTTAATATTTTACTTAACGCTAGACCATGTTATTCAGCCGGTATACAAGGGGTTAAGGATATATTTAAACTCATTTCTACATCTTTACTTGAGAGGAATATCCACCATACGAACGAGAAATATCCACCATACGAACGAGAAATATCCACCATACGAACGAGAAATATCCACCATACGAACGAGAAATATCCATACGAACGAAATATCGAACGAGAAATATCCACCATACGAACGAGAAATATCCACCATACGAACGAGAAATATCCACCATACGAACGAGAAATATCCACCATACGAACGAGAAATATCCACCATACGAACGAGAAATATCCACCATACAGGACTGGACGTGTAACCGTAAACGTCCAGAGGAAACAGGTGATTGTTAAGTCCAATTTGACCCTGGAAGGACTTGTTTACTGTTTGCCATTGGAGCGTTGATTCTGACGGCTCTCTGTTACTCTTTTTTCTAACGATTACAAGGAAGAAAATTGAGTACTACAAGTTTATTTTTTATGATTACTAGTTTATTTTGATTACAAGTTTATTTTAATGATTACAAGATTACAGTATTTGCATGATGACAGGTGTATTTTAATGATTACAAGTTTATTTAAATAAGTATTTTTATTTTCATGATTATAAGTTTATTTGGAACTATTACAGGTTTATTTTAAATGAATTCAAGTTTATTTCGAATGATTACAAGTTTGTTTTTAACTGATACCATTTTATTTTTATTTTTTCATATTTACAAGCATAAGTTTTTATTTGCCGAGTGATTTTGATCTTAATTATTAGTATAATTTTTTGTTAAGATTTTAACCTTAATTTTAATGATTATGATTTTATTTAATTGAGTTTTTAATTTTTTTATTGACTACAAGTTTAATTATAAAATTTAATGTCTTTATTTTATTATTTCAATTATTTTAAGATATTTATATTATTTTTTCTACTTTAATCAGTTTAATCTTTTTTTTTTTATTATTATTTGGAGTATAAGGAATTTTAATTGAATTTATTAGTTTTTATTAATTTTTACTATTATATTGTATTTTAACCCTATTTACTAATAACTTTAAAAATGTCCAGTAAATAGATCCTCATATTCATCTGTTTTATTTACTGTATATTTAATTAATTCAACTTTACTTTTAATAATTATGTTTCCAATACATTTAAACCATTTTGTAACTCGACCTTATTTTAAATGGTAACTCTTCTGATTTTCTAGGTGAGTGGAGTCCCGAGTGAGTGACAACAGTAACCTTCATGCTTAGGTGAGTTACTGTACCGTGTGTTGTACTGTACCTCAGCATAGTCTATATAACACACATATATACGGTACATCAACACGTGAAGATTTAAGAACAAAAGTTATTCGTCAGTAAAATGTTCCGTTCATCAAGTACACGTTTAGTTCACCGTGTTAATGTTCAGCTCCCGTATTTTCTCTCTTGTTTCGTCCTTATATTGAACACATTACCATGATATTGTTTATATTATGTAAACAATGTGAGAACAATAGTGGTGTGGGGGAGGTCGGGGGGTGTGGGGGGAGGCCGAGGGTGTGTGGGGGAGGTCAGGGCGTGTGGGGGAGGCC